ATTTTTCTCGTTGTTACGATTTACAATATTTCCAACATCATTTTTCTTCTAAATACGTAGATGTTTATTGTGTACTCAAACTTAAATTTTATTTTTAAATTATGATATTCTATACACTATGTACACATAATATTATATATTATACATCATGGATTATAAGAAATATTATGTCTGAAAGCCAAAGACACTATATTAATAAAAACCAATCTGGACTTATTTAAGGCCCTTGCATATACCGGCAAGAAGGTAGCTGTAGCTACCAACAAAACCTTACCTGACTACAAGCGAAAGCGATCATCTTATGAAGATGATGACCATCATAATAGAAAATTGTCTCGAACCTCAACATCCACACTCGATGTCTATCATGTAACTGGTAAGTAATATACACGTCAACGACCAGAGACATAATAACGAAATATAACTATAATACCAATACATATACGGTCGATATCAGTGCTTCACTGTTTTAGAGTCTAACCAGAGCGATGATTGTATCGATTTTATCATGGTGTACGCAGTGTTGAGAATAGATAAAAAAAAACATTTAATTTAGATATTATATAGATAATTATATATCTATTTATCAAGAATTCTTTATACATACTAGATAATATCTAGGTAATACAGTAGATAAAACTAATTTTTATTATATTTAAATAATAAATATACAAAAATGCAGGATGTACCTATTTGTTTTCTTCTCAATTTTCGTGTCTGTATACACGATAAGTAGTCAAAAATAATGTTTCGATTTTCAAATTCAGAACATAAAGGTATCGTTTCTTGTGAAAATGTATTCTGGTTGGTGCATTTGCGAGATCAAAATTAAAAAAATCCCAGTAATTTTCTAAAGTGTCGGGGAAAAAAATTAAAGAAAAACGAGAATATTTACGCAAAATCGATTTTGGTTTTTGATGCAACTCTAAAAAAATGAGGTATAACATTAAATTTGATACATTGTATCACTTTACATATTATTATTGTTATTATTCACAATTTATTTTATAGTTAAATACGTATAAAATATTCAATTAAAACAAGTATTCATATAAATAGTTCATACTACTACCAACAAATCTAAGTAATATATAAACACAGTATTTTCGTTATAGACATTTTAAATTCAAATTTGGACGATATTAGATATTTAAATGAAGAATAACGATTTTATGGTTATAACTTATTTTGCTGTTATTAAAAATATTATTAACGAGTACTTGAAACTTTGAAAGTACCTATATAATGAAATTGTATACACACAAAAATATAAAAAATATAACATTTGATTTCGTGGGGTAACTTTGATAATATGATATTTTTATTCACCATAGTACCATGACAATTTAATGTTTTTTTCATAAAATGGGGTAACTTAGATAACACATTACAAAATGCTGGTATCAAAGTTGCCCAAAACGTGGTGTAACTTTGATAGCATTTAAAAAAAATTAAGATCTCAGAAGATAACATCAGAAATTAAAAAAATTAAATGTTAAACAATTGAGGATAATTAGCTATAACTAAGATTTAATTTTTGGAATTTTATAGTTAATACTACAGAAGTTATCCATAAAATAAAAAGTAAAATTGTAATAAAACGGTACAAATTTATCAAAGTTACCCCATTTTACTGTACTGTAATTCCCACTATAATGTCTAATAGTTAAATAATTTACATAAATCACAATAAAATCATAAAATATACTTAGTAATTGGTAAATAATTATATATAGACTGACAGACGGTCTTTGCACAGATTCGTTTTGCGTAGGTATATAGTATATACATTATATCCCATTGAATTCAAATGTTAGGCATCCGGTACAGCGACCTGTACAGCATAGCGAGTTTCTCAGTTTTTTTTTTAATAACATCACACAACTATAAGAACCAAAATTAGTTGTTTTTTTTTTTTTTGGAGTTAGGAGCGGGGCCTAACGCGTATCTGGCACGTAACATTTTCGGAGTTACTATCGTAGAAATAAATAGTTATGTAGATATATATGTTACGTTCCAAGTAGAAAAATGGCAATTGTAAACATTGACCATTAGTTCTATACAATGACAGAGTTTCAAGCCTGATTACGTGTGGATAATTATATACACGATCGATGGGGTCGGATCAATGTTTCTATTATTGTCCGTACATTTTGATGCGTAAATTTTGTTAATTCTACTAAAATCAAAACTGCCCATCTTTCACTCCGTGATAACTTCATTGTCAATATCATATCTAGACATCATGCCGAACGATAATGTAACAAATAGTAATGACAAGTCAACTATTGTTCAATCTGATGCGGATTTCGTAACTAGTGTAATACGTCATCATTGTCCGAGAGTACCGCGTACTCACGTACCGCCTGAGGAAAGCGACAAAAAGATTAAAAAAGTAACAAAGGATAATTATTATTTCATTCAGTATTTATTAATATATTATAATTTTTACAGGGAAAGTATGGAAAACCACCCATTTCTGGATCGAAGTACGTACTCGATGCCAAGGGAGACGGTAATGTTCCCCTTTCACTCTCTAGAGCTGCGGGGACAAAAAGAAAAAGAGTATTGACTAAGGCCAGCGACAGAAAACTTAAAAAAGTAATAAAGATAAATTATTATTCCTTTCAGTAGGTATTTATTAATGTATTGTCAATTTAATAGGAAAAGCATGAAAAACTATCCATTGTGGGTTCAACGTATCAACGTGATGTCGCGGAAGACGGTAATGTCTCTCCTTACTTCTCGCCACCCCGTCCCAAAAAACACATCGTCCAATTAGAGGTAGTGTACGGTGGGCTGTTGGGTCACTGCTATCTCCAAGGAGAAATAAAAATTATTCAAGCAAAATGCTTCACTTAATGCACTAAGTGTGAACGGGATATGATCTGGTGTGTTTAGTTTTGATCCATTGCATGTTGCATGTTTATATTTGTGTTCTTTTGTGTATATTAATCAATCATAGTATGTACAGATACTAAGTACCCATAGTATATCATACCACAATATTACATTTATTTGTTGAGAGTATATAACAGCTTTAACCTTTTAAGGAGTGAATTAAAAATACATAGGAGTTACTCAGACAACAGTTTTCTCTAAAAAAATTATTTTTTTTTCATTTTGAATTTTTGAGTTTACTTAGTAGAGTAATATTTAAATATCATTTAGTTTTACGTAAGGAAGGCATTAATACTGGCGGAGTTTCCATGGGTACATTACAGATAAGAAAATTAAGCTGGCGGAGTTAAAATTAGACCTTTCCATTACCTTTTCATCTATCCGGTATTCTGGCATAGTTACAATCGCCTCATAAAATATAGGTTAGTTATATAAAACATCATTGTTCTTTTAGACACATCTTTTGAAAACATATTATGTTATACTGCAGTAATCAATGCTCGTCAATAAAATGTAGATTTATTAAATTATGATTTTAATTTACAGAATAAAAAAATATTCAATTTCACATAAAAACAATGTTGACAATTGTTATTTAAATTAAATATTATTTATTTATTTATTTTATTTCATTTAATTTCATAAATACATATGAAAACTGGGCCGTACAAAGAAAATTTGGGTTATATATTATAATATAATAAAATGTTTCATCCTATTTTATTACTAGGTATAATATCCTTTTAAGACAAATTCCATAGGACATTAGGACTGGTTGAAATAATGTATAATTCTAGAAATTGTTCATCAAATTACAGGATAAATAAGCATATAATATTATTACTAAGCGCGATTACTGGTTATGATGTATTAATATGTGTTTGCCATGTACTTTAACAGTTTATATTAGTGATTTTTGATGCTATACTTAACTTTTGGGCTTATTAACCAGTCTCAGTAGTTAGTTATAACTTATAAATATTAAGTATAATTTTCAGTTCTGGAAATATGATCAGACCGTTGCATCAGACTTACCATCTGGAGTTGTGAACGAGGATATCAAAATATGTAAGCGACTAGAACATGGAAAGAATGTAAAAATTTAAATTAGTGATTTCATTTTAAATAACTGACGTCTTATATTTCTATAATTGACATTATTTTGTAGTAGAGTACAATTCAAACTACAGTACGATGTCCGGGTGTAATAAAATTTGGAAAATTTGAAGTGGAGACATGTTATTCATGCCCATTCCCGCAAGAGGAGGATGCTGCGAGATTAATATTTTGTGAATTTTGTTTAAAATACCACTTAATGTCAATCGATTTTGGAAAGACATATGCGACACTGTAATTGGAGAACACCACCGGGCACAGAAATTTATCAAAGTGGAGATTTAAGCGTTTATGAAGTAAATTAATGTTATGAAACAATTCATAAGAGATAAACTACCTACACAATTTTTACTTATTTTTTCAAACAGGTTGATGGAAAAGTAGACAAACGTATTGCCAAAACACTATGTCGGTTGGGGGAAATTATTTTTGGACCTAAAAACCCTGGACTATGGCGTTGAGCCGTTCTTATTTTATATTGTGACGAAAAACGACTGTTTTTGTAAGTGTACCTATATAAATACATTTTAAATTGTAATTTTCGAAATGAAAACTCTTCTTGGCAGGGTCTGCCCTTCTCTCGAATCATCTGACTAACCGCGTAAAAGAATCATTGAGCTACACTAACAAAATATGTAACGCGTGTCATCCAAATTATCTTAAGTCCCTACATCAATATACATATATATATATATATTATATATATCTTTTATGGGATGTGTGTTTTTGTGGGTATTGCTTACCCAATTATAATTCCCAACATTATGTACCTTTAAATTTTAATACATGAAAATAGTCCAAATTTATTAGTAGAAGTTTTCAATTCTGTCTACAGTCGTACTACAATTTATTTTTTTTATAGTTGTCTACCATAATTATATTTTAATAATGTTCAATTAAAATGTAAGGGCTGTCATTTGGTTGGTTATTTTTCAAAACTAAAACAAAATGAAGAACATTTTAATGTAGCTTGTATCGTTATCATGCCACAGTACCGAAGACAAGGGTATGGACGAATTCTCATCGAATTCAGTAAGTGAAAACTATATGGACCTAGGCGTTTTAGCATAAATTACGTCTAGTTTATCTTTTCAGGTTATCTTCTATCTAGAATTGAAAAGACAGCGGGAACCCCGGAAAACACCCTTTCCGGCTTGGGAAAAATGACGTACGATGCATATTGGAAAGGTGTTATTCTCGAGTATTTAGATAAACACAGAGACATTGACAGCATATGCATCAATGATGTTAGCAGTGAAACTGGTAATTTAAAAACATTTAATTTGAAACTTTTTAATCAGAATTTGGTGAGACAATCATAATTTTAATAACAATTTTAATTTAGGTTTAATGAGACAAGATATTATAGACACGTTCAAATCTCTACACATGGTTGTGGAAATCTATAAAGAAATGACAATATGCATTAGACTGTATGTTGTAGATTCTCAATAAAGAAGAAAATTGAATTAAACCAAATTCATATCGACCCAGATCGGTTGAGGTGGACACCGTCAAATTACCGGATGGCCCAAGTTAGTTTTTCCCGATAAAAAAAACAACCATTTTTAATGATTATAATATTTTTTTTAGGATAAACCAACATCACGAAGAACCGGCTTTCATCAGGTGCATTCCAGGTTGCTAACCCTATTGTACCTGTGTGAGGCTGGCATGTATCCGGATTACACGCTGCTCACGTGGTGATCTTCGCATTGTTCGCTACCATACCCGAGTCACTTGTACGTTATGAAGAACCGGCTAGTGGACGCCAAACGGGCGATGGTGGAAAATAAGATGGACGCCATGGTCGAGTTCATAATATGCAAGGAAATGCGCAACGCGTCCTTCAGCAAGCCGTTCTCCGACTGGGTAAGACGTCCATCGTCGGACTGGGCCTGCCCATGTTCCGGGTGATAGCCGGCGTCACTTCGCTCATGTAGTTTGTGTCCATCACGTTCACCGAGATGCTCGTGGCCGTTCCCAAGCATACAAGCTGTCGCGGACAGGTGCACCGCGTACGACGTAACCGATTACGGGTGGCTGTGCGTGGGTGCCGCCGGCGGGTTGTCGGTCGCGCACATAATCGGACTTGGCTGGCTGCTGTCCACCATCAACTGCGAGCTGTTCTCGGCCAACATCCTGTCCATACCTAACCGCGCGGTCATCACTATCACGCTAACCGACACGATGTTCCTGGTCCTCAAGATTTACCCCGTGCTGGTGTACGACAGTGGCATTATGTACCGAAACTATCCGATATCGTCGATGTTTGGCCTCAAGTCCATAGTCATCTGCTTCCTGTGAACGAAAGCACGCGATCGAGTTCAACTGCTGCTGGCGGAGGTGGATGTGGGTGCATGGCGATTTGTACGAGTACGAGTTGAGTACCCACACGATAATTCATTCTACGACTTTGGACTCGGGTCGATTGTGCAGAACGTTATACAAACATATTATACATAATATACAATACAATATTATAATAGAAGTGGTGGGACGATCTGCTGCAGGAGAAGGACTCTCCCTGCGCTTATATTTTTTGCGACGGATGCATTTGTCCGAAAATACTGCAATCGCCGTTTATCAGAAATATATTAATATATAAATATCATCAAGCCCAATAAGAGAATGATCTATATAAAAAGAAAACGTGAACAATTTTAATGAAGAAGCCACCTATTTATGACACTTTCGTATTTTATTTTCTATTATATACCTTTACATGAAATATATATTATAAATATAAATTATACCTAAGTAGTTAACTTATATAATGTTAAACTTAAAAATTATGTTTCAGTTAGAAATTAATAAAAATCTTTAATTTTATAATTAACATTAGACATTTTGATTCCCAACAAGTTTTTCTACCTTAATCAAAAAAAAAAGTTCACTGAACTGTATCATTAATTTTTATGAATTTGATTTTAAATTGCTTACGATATTTGATATTCAACCGTTTTTAATTATTAATTTTGATTATTGATACATGTATGACATGATGACACATCGTCTTTGCTTAAAATAATTTTTGTTGAATTCAAATCTAACTAATTCATTACAATAACATAGGTACTTGACAACAAATACTGTACCTACAGCATAGAGGTACAAACTCTCCACTTATTTTTCGATACTGGTTACAAATATCCGAGAAACAAATGTATATTATGAAGAAGAATAAATTAAAATATACTTATTTTCGATATAATACCTGTATCATGAATTTGGATAACATATTTCGTATATATTAGCCTTTAATAATGTCTTAGTGCACCTATCTATTATATTAGTGTGAGTGAGCACGCGCTGATAAAGATATGTACTCACACGCATGCACAAGTCAGAGATAGACTTCGATGACTATTATCGAAGCACTGTTTTGATGAACAAAAATGGTTTCACAGGAAAAACAATCATGTATCGTAGATATGTTAGATTTTGGGGAATTTTTTTTTATCCAAAAGATGAGAAGTTTCTGCAGTTCAGATCAAAGCTTGAATTTTTATTTTACTTTAAACGGTACTAGAAAAATACGTTTGAAAAGGACAATCGTTGTGCATTTTTCAAATGCATATTCCAGCTTCTATACCTAATTATAATTTTCAAAATCGGGCTTTGATCCGACCTACAAAATGTTCTCTACTTTTAGATAAAAAAATTGAGTGCTGTCATGGGAGACCCGGTGGAAACGAAGTTTCTTTTCCAACAAATATTATTATAGATTACAAATACATTTTAGTGGAACCATTCAAAATAAAAGCAAATGTGAAAAATAAATGAAAATGAAAGTTATTATTATGACCATTTAATTACTATTATATTAATCATATTCAATAATCGAAATTACAGGCCTGTGATAACTGAAATATGATACGTATATGTTTGTGATGTAATTTTTTCCAAATATCTTGAAAATACTGCATCGATAGTGGTGTCATCTCTCGTTGTAGTCTTGTAGATTCTGCTGGATTGCTTATAATAATATGTAAGTTGAATGTGTCCATAAGGAAACTTTTAAAAGTTACCGTTTTCTTATCATTAAAATTGATGTTAACGTCACCAAATTTTTACAATTTATAAATTATAATAATTATAAATGCATAATATGCAGATCTTATTCGCTGTTTCATATCCTATGGTGGTATATCAGTTTTCTATTACCTAGTCTGTACCAAACGCGGCACGCAAAGAAAATATGTAATCACGGCAAAGGTAAAGAACTTATATAGGGACATTTGCAAAAATCAGTTTATTCTACTTAAACGATCTCATGAAATAAACATTTTTACGCGTCATGCAAGGAGATTATAATATGTATATGATGTGACCAAAAGTTTATGCTATGTAAGGACCTTGGTATAGAATTCAGTGTCTGGTTGTGCATAGAATACGCGTAATATAGCCCAGCACTTTTGAGAATTTCAACTTTTCCCCCCGGCAATATGGGGATTCCCATTTCCACTTTACGGTCCACTATAGGTCTATAGATGGAAAAAGGTCACTTTCAAACGCTTCAACCGCGGTCGAAAACCAAACTTTCGGTGCAGGCGTGACAAAAATATATTACCTACGTACAATTCAATAATTATATATATTATATATACTTATTACATATATATTTTATTAATTATAAAACCTCTAACGCTTCAACCGCGGTCGAAAACCGAATTTTCGGTACATCCGTGACAACCAAATTTTTCTGTGCAGGCGTGACAAAAATATATTACGTACAATTCAATACTTATTGAATATACCTATATTATTATATATATACTTATTAGTTATTACTTATTACTTATATATTTTATTAACTATAATAATTATAAATACATAATATACTCAGTGTTGTGATATATTATCAATATACACAAGATATTTATAAATTATAAATTATTAATCAATGGTGGACCGTCACTACAACTTACCGCTCCCGTTTTTTCTTTTTGCTTCACCATACCAATCGATCTAATAATGCGATAATATTTCTGAAAACTGATCTGAATTCATTAGAGTTTATCTTAGAGATTGGTCTGTCCACATTTTAAGATTTCTTCTTTAAATTCCGAATAAATCCAGAATAATCAACGTTTGAAAATTTGGAAATTTTAATATAATCAAGCAAAATGTTTAGAGGTTGGTGAGGTGAAATTGGGAAAAGTGGACTAACCAATCTCAAGTAGACATAATAAAGAATTCAAATCTGTTTTTAAAAGTATTATCGCATTACTAGATCGATCAGTATGATCGAATCAAAATTGGATGTTTAGGCTGAAATAACTGTTTAATATATTATAAAAAATAGTATTTCGTCAGGAACTTTTTCATCGTGCCATAAAAAACTTCGTTTCAAAATCGAAATCCGATAATTCTACAGGGCGTGAGAGTTTTTCCTGTAAGGCATGTTTTTGTACCAAAAAACACACCGGCTGCAACCCCCTAAGATGTTATCTTTTACGTGTTAAACACACTATACAGTCTCAGATGACGGAAATCGCAGCAGATAATTGTTCGAACTACTGCCGAAGAATCAGCTTAAGAATCAGCTTCACACAATATTAATAGCCCATATTATCAGGCGGGGTTCTAGGACTATATTTTTTTTATGGGCAACAGTAGATTTATACTTAGGTATTAACTGCGAATAATTTTCCTCATTTCCTCCCCCTTCTACAATAAGTTGGCACCAGAAATTTTGGTATGGGCAGCTGCCCACCCTGCCCATACGCTAGAACAGCCACTGCATATTATACCTCTGTATATCTATATAGGTACTTCTTTTTTGTATATACTCTTTAGGACATTGTATTCAGAAACCACCTTCATTGTATAGTGTTATTATTATTATTATCGTACATCATCTCAGCCTAGGAATATTTTGTCCAGAACGTATTTATAATATATAGGTATACACGCATAATTTAAATTAATTTAAAACGTTAATTTATATTTAACGTTAATTTATAAAACGTAAAAATTATAATAATATATTATATTATAATATAATTATTTATCGTTAAATTAATTTATGGCGTTTTAGCATGCACCGGTCGTATAAATATACAGTTGTTGCCAGATAAATTGAGCCGGCGGCGGCGCGATAACGGAAAACCAGTGGTTCTCCGTATTTCAATACTATTACCGAAAATAAATCAATAAACCAACAGTTGTTACAAAAATTATTTTACGATATTAATTTAAAACCCAATATTCTGATAATAATCTTTTAACAAAAAGCAGACATTTTAAAATAATATAATAATAATAATTATAAATAATATATATAAATCTTACTATATAAAACGTGAACCCGAGGGCGCGCCCCGCGGTCCTTTTTCGCATCGTACTTAAGGGACGGCCAATGGGGAGCCCTCCCGGCGGCGGCGGAGCCGTCGCCGCGTTATCACTCCTCTTATCGCTTTTCACCGTTTTTCTCGAAATTCACGATTTTTTTTTCAAAACTTTCGACTCATACCCCCCTCGGGGCCTCGGTCGGCCCCGTTTGGACCTTATTCGTTTTTCTCGGTAAATTTACAGTCGGCGCGCGGCCCTACTTTTTTCCCGGGGGGCCCGACGCGGCCGATATCGCGTGCGATACGAGCTTCGCCGTCGAGCGCGTTTTTTGCCGTTTTTTTCGACAATTCG